GGTTGGAAGGGACCTTCAAAGCTCATCCAGTCCAACCCCTGCCAAGAGCAGGGACATCTTCAACTAGGTCAGGTTGTCCAGAACCACATCCAGCCTGGCCTTGAATGTCTCCAAGGATGGAGCTCCACCACCTTTCTGGGCAACCTGTGCCAGTGTTTTGCTGCTCTCATTGCAAGAATTTTTTCCTCACATCCAGCCTGAATCTCCCTCTTTTAGTTTAAATCCATCACCCCTTACCCTATCACAACAGACCCTGCTATAGCACATGCTATTTGCTCATGGTGAGCTACAGAGGGACCGGTGGGGAGAGTGGCCTGGCTCAAAACCACCCCACCCCTCACACCCTGCTCCAAGTGTGAGCTGTTACCTGAATCCCAGCTCTCCCAAGCACAGTCTGCAAGTACAGGTACAGTGCTCTGTCTAAAACACATGCCCCTGTATAGGGACACGGACCCATGACCCACTGTCACCTTCCAGAGCATGGAGTAAGATCTGAGCAGACTGCTCAGCCTCACATGAACTCCAGATGGGTTTTCTTCAGCCATCAAAAAGCATAAACCTACCTGAGCATATGACAGAAGCTGCCCCACGATAACAGTCAGAGTAGGATTCGCTGAAAGGGCAGTGCCACAGATAGTCTTCAGAGCCATCACAATCCACCTCCGTCACCATGTACTGGTACGAGTAGGAAGGGAAATACTCCATCACACTAAGAGGGGAGCCACAGCCAAGCTGCCTGCACACCACCTTGGCATCTTGCATGTCCCACAGGTACCCACACACTTTACCCCAGCTTTCAGGAAAGAAGACTTCCACGTTGCCTGCACATCTGTTGGGCCCATCAGTCAGCTGCAGGAACACCTCTTTGAGAGACAGAAAACCCTTGGTCAGGACAGCAGTGCTCTGGTTCCAGGCAGTGATACTGTTTGGATGGGAGGCTCCCACATCCTCCCTGGGCATGGCTGTCCCCCAACACCCAACAGCACAACCCGGAGCCAGCAGCACCTTCTCAGGGTGTCATAGTGGGTGACAGGGAGGCTGGGGCAGCAGTAAGGGTGTATATCCCCATGCCTGGGGCCATGATGAAGGCCCTGGCAGACAGACTCACCATCAACTATGACTCCATCTGTGGAGGAGAAGAAGCAGAGGAAAAACACATGGAGAGCAAGCAAATTAGGAGAAATCTTTTGGGAACCATCAATGTGCTTTACCCTTTCCCAGTGAGTCCAGTTAAGTCCCCAGTGAAGGGCATAAAAACCAGAAGATCATTTTCTTTCTAGCAAGGATGCGGGTAAAGCCACCCCTGAAATCCCAGCTCCAAAATTATTTTGTACTCACATCCAGTCCCAGTATGAAGAAAAATATGAGCTTTTTAATCATACGGATTTCTTGCCAAGAATGAATACAATAGTAACAATATAAAGCTATCACTATCATATAAAGTAAAAATATGATAAATCCTACTTACAAGTAGTGGTCTCAAGTGTTGTTGGGGTTGTTGGGGGTGCTGCGCTTGTAGTTTCTGCTGGAGAAGAATAAAAACCACACATGATGCCATATGGGGAAGTCAATAAGGCAAATATGATTGGAAACTTCCTCAAACGCTGTCTCAGCCTATAGCAATTTGCAGCTGACAGACTTCAGATCCAGGTTTCCTTCTATTTTAGTAAACCTCAGCAGCTTTTCTCCTCTTTTAATCACCAAATCTCTTTGTGAACCCACCAAAACCTGCAGCTGGCCCAGAGAGGCTCAGGTGCCTTTGAAGTGAGAAGAGCCTCTCTCTGTTTGCTTGATGTCTCTTGATGGTTTTACCTGATCTGATCAGAAATTGATGGCTTTACTTCTTACATGAGAATAGGCTGTGAACAACTGCCTCCTCCTCCCTTTTTCCATACCAAGAACAGCGAAGTTACCCAAAGCTCTTAACAGAAATGAAGATGACAGAAAGCTATCTATCTGGGGAGATGGTCAGAGCAAAGCCAGTGACAGGATCTGCACATCCCATTGTCTTCCTTCATTCTACACAGCTGCAGGCAGGGGGTCTCCAAAAGCTACCTGTGACAGGTTTTGCTCACGTTCCCACCACATGTAGGCTACTCTTGTCCCCGTCACCTTCCAACACCACTGATTTCTTCCATACCTTGCTGCTGACCACAGCTGGTGACACAGACTCCAGGTCAGAGAAGGGTTTTCCCTGCTAAGTGTCCTGCACAGGACACTTGATGGAGAGCCCTCCAGGTGGCACCAACAGATTGAAGCTGTCCCATGGGACAGGGCTCTGGCAGGCCAAGAAAGGTGATCTCATCTAAAATCTAGAGATTTAGGTTTTCTGAGATAAGGCTTTGTGGGGTTATTCAAACCCTGGCAGAAGGACCATGCGTAGACCACCATTAGCCTTCTGCACCAGGGCTGATAACGCTCCAAATGTCATCACAGGATTATGCAAAGGGGTTTAAGGAATTGTCTCATTCCAGCTCAGCTTCATTCAGACAATTCCATGTCCTTGTTGAAGCAGGATATTGAACACTGTATTTCAGAAGGATGTAGGCATCCGTTGGCAGGGAGCATGCACTGGTAAGAGGGGAGATTTAGATTAGACATTAGGCAGAAGCTCTTTCCTGTGAGGGTGCTGAGGCGCTGGCACAGGGTGCCCAGAGAAGCTGTGGCTGCCCCATCCCTGGCAGTGTTCAAGGCCAGGTTGGACACAGGGGCTTGGAGCAAGCTGCTCTAGTGGAAGGTGTCCCTGCCCATGGCACGGGTTGGAACTGGGTGAGCTTTAAGGTCCCTTCCAACACAAACCATTCCAGGATTCTATGGTACAAGTCCACTCTAACTGGGGGACTGTCCTTCAGAAAAGGCAGTTTTCTGACTGCTTTCTGACACATCCCACCACACTGCTCCTCATGCATGCAAGGCTTTAAGTCCAGATTAATTAGATGGAAATGAAAGGATTAAACAGTACTTTCCAACTCAATATTAACATTCCACCATAGTTTTCAATATCACTAATTGCACCTGAAATGTTTATGGGGGGAGTAAATAACAAGACCATCAAAAACCTGAGCTTGGAAAAAGCCCTGAATAGATATTTTTTTTAGTCATTTGATTTGGTTCATTAATCCAAGTGAAGTTCATTTCAGGACCTTACATCTGAAATAGGAATGGATGGAAAGACAGCAGCAACGGCAAATACTTTTGATCTTTATCCATTCCCTGCCTAGGAATTAGACCATGGGAAAATAGAATAATATAAAATTACAGTAATTCCCATTACATTCTAATAATGACAATAATAAAGGGAACAGGGGTATGTGCCATAGTTTGTTTAATCTAAGGCACTCTTTTGTTAAACACCAATGTGTTAGCCCTAACAACATACTTAATTAAATACAAACCCCATGGTTCAAAGAGCACATCACACTTCAACATAGACATGCATTTCATCCAGAAAATAGAGATTAGTCTTTACATCCATTATCCCAACACAAAGAATCAGAATATTAGATCGCTGGCTTTACACTACGTTGACTTGAATTCCCTTTACCAGGCGCTTCACAAAAAAAAATAGTGAGAACAATAATTTAAATGCATTAAGCGGTTTCAAGAAAAGATTTTGAATTAATGGCTATAATGATTGATTAGCTTGGCTCACGGGTTTGACTGGGTCATGGTTTTTGAAAGAGCTAAGCTGTGCTGCTAAATCCTCTTTTACCCTTTAATCTCAATATTAGCTTGATGTAAAATATAGCCACGAAGGTGATCAGAAGTGAGACTCTTTACCTGCATCCACTTGAATTTGAAGGCTTACCATTACCATCCAAGAGAAGATCATGATGGCAGCCATCTTCTTGGAGCTGCTGATACAGGAGGGCACAACAATTTATAGGCAGAGACGCTGAAGGGTGTAGCTCAGCAGCTCAATCTGTCCCTTCGGTAAGTCAATACGAAACACATTCCCTCATCGCTCTTACTTCCCTAAATCCCATGACTGATTTATTACCCAACACTTATAGCTTCCTGGTTCTACAAGAAGACACCACCTGACATCTTTCCTCAAGGAAGGTAAAGATCAGAGTGGTTGCTGCTGTTTTTCCATCCCATCCCTCTTTCAGCCATGGAGTTCTGATGCTACCACTGATATAACGTGTCCGTTTCTTGGGTTTGAGAGGTAGCTGAGCCAAAGGTGCTCAGACACGTAGTCTGTGTAGCAGAGGCTTTCTTTCTGTAACTGCACATATGGATGGATAAGAACATGGTGGGAAACAGTCGAGGGGCTTATGGAGAGCCTTCTGACTGGCCTGGAGTCCCTCAAGGAGACACAGCCACCAGCTCTGGGAGGGCATCACTTGAAGACAACCGTAATGTCCCCAGCCCTTGTTGTGAAGGTGCCATTTCAGGGACTGAGAAAAATGTCACGCATAACTTACTGTCATAGAATCACAGAATCACAGAATTGTTTGGGTTGCATTGGAAGGGACCTTAAAGCTCATCCAGTTCCAACCCCTGCCATGGGCAGGGACACCTTCCACTAGAGCAGCTTGCTCCAAGCCCCTGTGTCCAACCTGGCCTTGAACACTGCCAGGGATGGGGCAGCCACAGCTTCTCTGGGCACCCTGTGCCAGCGCCTCAGCACCCTCCCAGGGAAGAGCTTCTGCCTAAGAGCTCATCTCAGTCTCCCCTCTGGCAGGTTAAAGCCATTCCCCTTGGCCTGTCCTGCTGAGTTGCCCTGAATTCCCCTAGACTGCCTTATGAGTATCTCTGCCTTAACAGATGTTGCAAAAGCATGCAGTAGAAAGTAAGCACAGCCATCTTTTTCGGTCCTCTGTGCATCCTTCAACATGCTACCTCTTTAGCAGGGTAACAAGACTCTGACAGTATGTTTAAGCTCTACAAGTCACCTACTGTCACTCCCAAACCACCAAAGTAATCTTTTGGCTTTTGTCACAAACTCAAGCCAAGAGTCAGTGGTCATACACTGATCGTTGTTAAACTGCACAAACCTTCTCAGAGAATGAGGAATGCAAGCTTGGACATAGGGGGAAGAATAGAAAATAAGGGAAAATCCATCTTAAATTCTCCATTTCTGAAGCTCTTCAGAACTTTAGAGGTCCTCTTTCCACTTGTATTTACAATGTATTTCAGGTAACAGATAAATAATGGGACCCTACATTGGATTTTTGCAAAGAGAAACTATCTCAGGTCATGGTTGGGGTTTGGTGGATGCAAGAACCTGCATTTGCACAGCACTGCTAAACAGCAACGTTTGAACAGGATATAAACCTGCAGATTTGCAGAAATATTTAGCTTGGAAGGGGCCTCTGGAGGCCATCTGGTCCAACCCCCAATTTAGAGCAGGGTTATCTTCAAAGTTTGGCCAAGAGGCTTCGTTATTCTAAGAATTCCGCATCCTTTTCCTAGACAAACTGTGCAAAAAACTCCCAGTAGACAACAATTTGACATAGTGGTTGTTCCTGTTGCTAGTCTTAGGTGGATTTGGCTTCATTACTGACTGGTAAACATATTGCTTCTCAGGAACTTGGAGATGGGTTTCTTGTGTCTCACGGACCAAGCAGCACAACTGTCCTAGCCCAGAACAGCCAGCACCCAAACTCAACAGCAGAGGGGATTCAAAAGAAGATCAAAAGGAGAAAGGAAGCACAAACACCATAGTGGGAATGGGGAAAAAGAAAGGATTAGTTTGTTATATGTGCAAATAGTTCATTGATTCTGTAAACATGGGCAGTCTTGTCTTCTCATGGTCTTGTTAGCAGATAGAGGAAGTGGTTATTTGGAGGGACTGAAGGAAGTAAGTGATGTGGCTTGGCAAACAGTTTGGGGCAGCTGTTGCGTACCTGGAGGGACAAAAGAAGAGGAAAACCAGATTAAAAACCCTGAAAACTCAAAAGAAAGCACTTAATATTTGAATGGAAAAGAAGAACATGCATGACAGCTCCAAAGGTTAGGGTCACTGGTTAACCCAGGTCCACCAGGAAGTTGCAATTGGAAGCACCACAGCATGGCTATACCATTTGAGAACTGGCATTCACTGCATGGAGCCCATCTCTGACCTTGGATAAGAAGAAAAGTGTGGTGGATTGACCTTGGCTGGCTGTAAGACACCCACCCAGCCCCTCTCTCATTCCTCCTCCTCAACAGAGCAGGGGGAGAATATAAGGTGAAAAAGCTCATGGGTCAAGATAAGGACAGGGAAATCACTTCTTGTCAAACAGGGAAACCAGACTCAACTTGGAGACAAATAATCTGATTTATTGCCAATTAAAATAAATTTGGACAGTGAGAAACAAAGATAAATTAAAATAACACTCTCCCTGTTTTCCCAGGCTTAACTTCATTCCTTCGTTCCCAGCTCTTGTTAGCTCCCCCTCCCTGAGCAGTGCAGGGGGAATAAGGGCAATGGGGCACTCTGATCAGTCTGTAGCAGTTTGTCACTGCTGCTCTGTCATCTTCAGAACCACATTCAGCCTGGCCTCAAATGTCTCTAGGGATGGGGCATCCACCACCTCTCTGGGCAGCCTGTGCCAGTGTTTTACCACCCTCATTGTAAAAGTCTTCCTAAGCTCTGTCTGCTTGGAACAGTGAAGTTTAAATGATTCAGCCAGCAACTGGCAACAGCCACGCAGCTTGGCCATGGGAATTCTGGCTTCTTTCCTTGCAGAGACCTCCCACCATCCTTTTGCTGCACTTGCTTCCAGTAATGGTCATTTCTCAGTGGCTATTAAGAAACAAATGTGTACAAATACAGTGGTGCATCTGATGATATGTGAACAAGAGAAAACTGTCAAATTGACTTGCCTTGTAGAAGACTTGCTTGCCCTCCTTAGTCCCTGTCCTCTCTGGCTGTTTTGTTCAGCTCATACAGCCTTTCAGCTCATACTTCACACATTTCAGCATCATTTGTGCAAGCTTTTCTCCACTTCACCCCCTGCTTTTCTTGTTATACACCTCTGGCTCTGTTCACTATAGACTTCTGAGAGCCCATGCACAGCTAGAACAGAACTGATTAAAGACCTTACTTGATTGTAATCTACCAGCAGCAGGGAAGTCATCCCTGGTGTTACCCACTATTTCAGACCTTTTGGGCATGTGCTAAATGTTTGAGTCCCAGTAACCAAATTTAAGTGTGTCCAAGGTTGGTGGCAACTGATAACAGCAAGAGGTAGGAAGGGAAGTTCAGCATCTGTCCATCCACACATCCATCCATCCATCCATCCATCCATCCATCCATCCATCCATCCATCCATCCATCCATCCATCCACCCACCCACCCACCCACCCACCCATCCACCCACCCACCCACCCATCCATCCATCCATCCATCCATCCATCCATCCATCCATCCATCCATCCATTTAAGTTCTCCCTTGAATTTTGCCTTATGCCTGTTGAAGAGACTTGATCTAATACCCAATGATAAAGCAGAAGTTGGAAAGGGCAAGCAGTGGCTTGCAGAAGGAGGATGGATCTGAAACAATCTTATTGTTTGCTGAGCACAGAAAGGACAATAATTAGTAGAATGAGCCATTAAACCACAATCCCATCAAATTTCACTGAAAAGTAAAAAAGTTACCATAAACTTAAGGATAACCGGAAGAGTTTGACAGATATCACAGCTTGAAAACTGTTTTCTTCCAACCAAGAACTCCAAACCCAAAGTTGGTGCTAAAGTTCACAACCTGCCGTGAATTGCTTCACCCCTGAAAATGCCAAAGTGTTTTGTCATTAAATAAAGTTTAACACTGCTTTTAAACAAATATTGACACTCTTGCCACATTGTTTATGCTGTGGGTGAGAAACTAAGAGTGCTCTGTATTATTAATACATACTTCTGCTTATACGGTTTGGCCAACTTCCTAAACAATCCATTCCATGTAGTTTTGAATTTGGAGTTCCATGAATTTATCTGGGCTGGTCACTTTCCACTTGTGCCTCCTTTTCCCAATGTCAGTTGTAATTGCATCGAACACTTCTGCTACCCTGGCAAAATAAATAAGCCCATAGCCAGAGGAAAAGTCAAAGCCAAGGACATTTCTATTAGAAAGGAGAGAGACTGCGTCCATGAAGACATTTAAAACCACAAAAATATGCTTTATGAAGTGAACAACTGTTTGACCAGCACTGCGGTGTCTGTAAAGAAAGAGGCTAAACACACACACACACACACACACACACACTCCCTGCTATCACAAGTAGTTCTACTTTAGTCACTCAAGCATGGCAATATATAGCATACAGATATGAGTCTGAGCCATGAAGGAAAACAGCAACTACATCATTCCCACTGACTGTTTTCAGTCACTTATAAATTCCATTCTATAAACAATCACTCCCCAGGCTGCTTCCCATCCCAACCCTGCACCCAAATACTCCCTGACTTATTCAAGACCCAGCTGCACTATCAGCAATTCTTCTTCTTTAATTACCCACATAGTAGGAACAGGATGGCTTGCAGTTCCCACCCAGCACAAACACAGACTGAATTCACAGAATCCCAGAGTGGTTTGCGTTGGAAAGGACCTTAAAGCTCACCCAGTTCCAACCCCTGCCACAGGCAGGGACACCTTCCACTAGAGCAGCTTGCTCCAAGCCCCTGTGTCCAACCTGGCCTTGAACACTGCCAGGGATGGGGCAGCCACAGCTTCTCTGGGCAGCCTGTACCATTGTCTCACCACCCTTGCCCTTCTTTGTTATTGCAATGTGTTTGCCAAAACATCACATGGTATTTGCCAAGTGCCCTCCAACCTAGTGAGTACTCAGGGCAATATTCTCAGTCAATAATGACTTCCAACCCCAAATGCCAGAAATTCAGACATTTAAGGCTGTACCCTGGAAGCCCTCCAAGCCCAAGTGCTTACCAAAGTTAGGAATGACCAGAAACACCTAAATGCAGGCTCCAGCCACTGGCCACAGCTGCAGCCCAACACTGATGCTCTCCACAGAAGCAGTCCCAGCCCTCTTTGCTCCTGCACTGACCTTCTATTGGAGACATGGGATCAGATTAAGGCACTTTGCCTTAGGTTTCTGTGCCACTTCCTTGTTCTTGAGAGTCACTGCAGTGTCTGGAAACAATTTTCTGTGGCCATTGTTTTAAATAAATTGACTGTATTTCTTTGCTGAAGCAGACCCTCCTGAAAGCAAAAGCACAATTTCCCTTGCTTTGGCAAGGATCTTGATTCAGAAACAGAAAATGCCCTAAAGCAGCTCCCAACCAGATTCCCTGTAGGACAGCAGCGGTGAGAGCTACCACCATACTGGACCATTCTGTAGAACTACACCATTCCATAGAAACGATGCCAACAGCATATCACAATAACAGGGCACCAAGCAAAACTTAAGAGGCAAAACCCCCCAGAAAACCATGTTCCTTACCAACACCAAGCCCTGCCTGACCCTTCCAATAGGACTGGGTCCCAGGAGAGCTCAAGGGTGGTGCCACCCACTCATTAAACCAGCCATCTGGCCAGCATCATGCTGAATTACTTCACTTCCAGTGACACTCGCAACAATGGGGCACCTTCTCCAAGTTCCCCTTCAAGATCTCCCATAGAATGGCTCGAACAACATAAAAAGGAAAAAAAGTCATAATATGATGTGGTTTTGTAAAATGAAGTCAGTCTGACTCCTGCAAAGCCCACCCCAGGCTGTACATCTTGTTGCCTTTGTGAGCAATGCCCACTTCCATAGAAGAACCTATATATGCTTGACTTGGACATCAGCTCGTTTTAGAAAGACTCTATTAGCCCTTCTGAGTTCCTGTTGCCTGGGAGAAACACAGGCAAAGAAAATAGGCTTAAGAAATGGATTTCCATAAACCAAATTTTAACATAGGCATCCTGATATCCAGAAGTCTCATCCAAAAGACTTCATTCTTGTTCAAAAGGTTCATCGTTTTGTTAAGTGTAAATGTTTGGTAGGGTGCTGGAATTGCTTTCCTGTAATGAGTGCAAGTGTCAAGTTTTAGTAGTAGCAACATAGTTAACATAATATTAGCATGGGGATGCAATTTTGACCAAATGGGTTTGCACAGGAAATTATCATAGAATCATAGAACAGTTAGGGTTGGAAAGGACCTTAAGATCACCAAGTTCCAACC